GGGGGGCCGGTCCCAGGAGCACGGCGCTTGCGGGGGGGCGCCCCTGGGCACGCGGCTATTGGGGGGGCCATCCGCCCCCGGGCGTGCATGTGTCCCCGCCCCCTGGTGCCCGGCAGGCGAACGGCCACGCCCCCTGGCGCCCGGCAGGCGAACGGCCACACCCCCTGGCACCCGGCAACCTGAAAAGGTTGGGGACCACTGCTCTAGAGCCTAGAACTAAACAATTGAGCTGTAATTGCTTTGAAACACCATCTTAAATTATTTCTAGTTCACATTTCTAAGTAGTGAGGGTGTTAAGACAGCATTGGTAACTAGTATTTTACAGTTAAAGGCTAATGATGTTCTAGGCTGGGACCTCGTATTCAGTTTCTTAGTTTTACTAGAACTGAGCCAATCATGCAAAACCACTTGCGTAACAAGAAGCTTCAGTTATTTGTGCCTTTTCACAAACTTTGTAGCAATTGAGTTTTACTAAAGTCTAATCTACTTGGATTATTCCGAGTACAAGTATCCTCAAGCAGAAACTCAATTTATTATTGTCAGCTCTTTTTGGCAAGGAAAGACAATTATCAGCTTACTCCATTTTCTTTGAACTCCTGCTGACTGACACATACACACGATGCTTCTACTGTTACCTGAAAGGGCAGATGAAATGACTTAAGTTACCATTTTGCTGTAATTTGATAAATCTATATATTTCTGTTTCAACTTCAGTTGCAGCCTGTACACGTCTGCTGGATTTCAGTCTGACCAAGTTCAAATTTAATCAAAATCCAGAGTTTAAGGGGGGATGGGTATATTGAGATGTTCTGTCTGCTCAGTTTCATCTGTTGTAAATTTTTTTCCATTTTGTCTTGTTTTGAAATTTGCACATAGGGTTTTAGTCAATTAGTAAACAGCACTGTGGGGGTTTCCTCTCAGCAGTAGCATCAGATGCTTAGATGTTTACATTTCCTTGTGTTAATTTCCCCAGAAGTTTGACCTTAATATTCAGGAGTTGTGTATTTCAGCACTTTCCTTGCTGGATGTGACATCTCTTGGCTTACCCAATTCTTGTTCTGCCTATGCCAATATCAACTTGTGAATGATGCATCTTAAAATCCATCATCTCTGAGCACCGCCCATTTTTTTTTCTAATCCCAGTTTGTCTCAACATTTTCTTCTGGCAGTGCCTCAAATCTGTTCCTTAAAGTTAGAAATCCTCATAATACATTTTTTTAATTTTATACTGCTTTTCTTTAGCACTTAAACTGATGAATTGCAGTGTAGCAATGCAGCTTCTGTGGTCACTGCTTACATCTTGAACAGATTATTTAACTCAAGGCAATGCAAATGTGGTTAATCCCCTCCTCCCCCCAAAAATCTGGTGAATTACATGTTTGTGTGTGAGGGAATGGGGCAGCGGGGGGCAAAAGGGCCTCTACAGGATGGATTCGGCCTAAGTGGGTGATCTGGCCTGTGGAGGCCCTGCTTCTGCCCCAGGAGGGGGGAGGGGGGGATGGATAGGACAGAGCAGAGAAGGCTTTGCATGCTTCCCTGCCCCCAGGAGCATGTGGTGCTTTGAAGTGCCATGTGCTGCTGGGTGGGGGGAGGAGACTTCATGCACTCCTCTGCCATCAGGGCCAGGAGGCAGGGGAGAGGCATGAAGCTTCCCTGCCCCAGAGCCTGTAGCATGTCAAAACACCATATGCTCCTCACAGGGTGGGATGAGACTTCCTGTGCTCTCCCATCCCCAGGCACTGATTAGCCTGGGGGTAAGGGAGCGTGCCAAGCCTCTTTCAGGGCATGGGTGCCTAATGGGAAGGGGAGGGGGCAAAGAGGCTCTTCCACCCCCAGACTAATCAAAAATTTTTGAAGTGCCCTCTGGGCAAAAATTGCCCATCCCTGGAATACAGCCAGTCTCCGAGTTATGTACCAAACACTACGTCGTAACTTGATCTGTTCGTAAATTGGATTACATTCACTTACGTACGGCCATGCTGTTTGTAAGTGTGGATTTCGTTTGTAACTTGGGGACCGGCTGTATAGGAGGTTGGCCGTAAATATGAATAGTTGTAAGCTGATGTGTTCGTAACCCGGTAGCTGGCTGTATAGGGCATTTCTAAGAGTTAGCTCAGATACTTAGCACTGTTAAATTGTCTTACCATTTTGGTTGATAGTTCCCAACACATGCTTTCCCTAGTTGCTCTTTCTAGTCCTTGATTCTGACATTCTTGTTGCCAAGAACAAGGATTAAGTCATGGTTAGCTATTGTCAGTCCCATTTTGGAGGGAACTGCATAACTTTATCCTCATTAGTTTGTTCCTTTGTCAGAACATAGTGCTATATGATTGACATCTTATGATGGGTTAAGGTTCCCAGTTGACTGATCTCCTACCCTCCCTCCCCAATCTGTCAATGAGCATGACTGCCTGTTACAATGGCCAGAGTAAATGAGATTTCTTCTCTTGCTTGAAGCATGTGCCTAGATCAGTATGTTTTCACAAGGCTCAACCTTTCCCATTTTATCCAGTCTTGGGCATAACAGCCATTGCCAGATGCATCAGGCTCAGGAGAGCTTATGTACATCAGATACCCTCAAAAGAATGTATTTATTGTATAGAAGGGCAAGTTCTATTTTTTTCTGACAAGACTTGACAGTTCACAGGGATACACTGTGGAATATTCTGCAGTACAACATCATTCTATTCAAAAACATCAAGGTCACAGGACCAGATGGGAAATGTTCTCCAAGGCTAACCAGCCCGTGTGGTTCAGTGTGGATGTTGGCATGAAACAGGGCTACATATTTGACACTGCCATAACCCAGATTATGAAGTTATTTAGAAACAAGCACCAATATATCATGATAGATGAGACATGTAGATGTTTTCACCCTGTGTGCCAACAGTGGTGTAGAATGAAGATAAGAATTGCAGACAATTTAGAAAAAATAGGCACTTGCAAGGCTCAAAATTAGTTTTGCTAAAACAAACATCCTTGAAACACAGATGTGAAGCAATAGCATTTAGAAGGCAAAAATATTGAAGTATAGTTCATTTACATGAGTAGCATATGAGTCAATTATGATCTCAAAGCAACATCAAGGATAGGAAAGGGAGTTACAGCATTTATTAAACAATGCATAGAAATAACTGGCACTTTAACAAAACAAATATGCAAACTTGAGGGAAATGTACAGCAGAAAAGGATAAATATAGCTAGGGATCTATTAAAAACAGACAAAACTATACACCACAGAAAACAAGCACATACAAAAATATTCTGGTCATTGGAAAATCACATTTTGTTTCTTCCCAATTCAAATGATGCTGGACAAACTTGGGATATGTAATCTAGCTGCCCACACCCAGCCTCCCACATGAAGCTGTCAAATAGAAACACTTGTGAAACAAGTAGTGCATGCAAGAGAAACCGTAGCAGGGAGGCAGAATCATCAATATCGAATCCTAAGCCAGAAGGGACCACTGTCATCCGGTCTAACCTGTATAACAGGCTATAGGACTTCCCCAAAGTAACTTCTAGATTCTCTCTTACTTAAGTGGAAGCAGTGAAATGATAGAAAGGAATCATTTTTACCATGTGTGTCAACACTAGGAAGGGTATAAGTAATTACTTGTGTATGGGATATCTCATCTCCAGGAAATGCACTGGCTTCACCTACATTCAAACCTTACATCTTTCTGGTCATCACTACTGATAAGAACTATTGTTGGATTCAAGTCAAACTATATGAACAAGACTTCCTACAATAAGCAATATTGCCATGAATTGTGTTAACTAACATGTCTGAGTACATCTTGTGTATATTCTATCACAGAAATGTAAACATGCCATTTTTCACATTTTCCACATTTAGCACTCTGCCTATACAGATCTATCCAGCTTCTCATTACTCAAGCATGGAATATTAAAACACAGCTACTAAGCACGTATGAACTTCAGTTGTTCAAGAGGGAAAAAAATGCCAAGAACGAGTAGATCATTAAGTACTTCCAAGGATAAACAGAGATTTGTTAAAGTAACTTTAGAGTGTAGTAATAGAGTAAGTGCAGAACAAAAACTAGGTAAAAAGAGGCACAATATAATCAAAACAAATGAGCAGAATTTATTTTTTCCTACATGGAAGGGGGTGCTTCAGGAATGCAATTATTCAGAAAGCAAGACAACCTAAGGAATTTAGTTTTTTTGAAGAAAATATGGGGAAAGTAGTCTTGGACAGCATGCAATTACCAGACAAAATTTCCATTAGTTGGGCTTCAGGAATAACTGCTAACCCTTGAGCAATGCAGCTCTTAGTAATGGTAGTAAGGTACTTTGGGCTGAAATCTGCACATAGCACACTGAGAATATAGCTAAGTACTATTCATCAGCTAATACCATGTGCTAAAATCACTTCAGAATGAAAGAAAATAAAACTTTGGTCCTTGCTTTAAAGTAGGCTAGTTTGTCCACACTATTGCATCATGAGATCTTCAATCTAACTTTAAAAAAGGTCCAACACACTGTACATAATCACTGTTTTTCCCCCCTGCCCAGGAAGTTACTTCAACAATAATCACAAGAGATTACTGTATGAGGATAATCTGCTTTGCAAGTTTTTAGAGCTGAAAAAATAATGTAGACTTGGTTTAGGAGCCCAATTTGTACCTCCACCCTGGTGGCACTTTACACACAATTCAGAATTGCTAGGGTTTTACTCTAGTTGTTCTGTCTTCATATCTACATGTCAGTAGGATGGCCTCATGATTAAACTTGCTTCATTGATTGTCCAGGGCACAAATAGTTTGAAACATTCTGTCTAGCGAGTGATGTCAGTGGCGGGACAGCTGTCATAACAGCATGTAAACAGTTGTATTAGGCCCATGCAGCTGTTTTCCTTGCTTGTCCCAGCACACAATAAAAATCTTGAGGGCAAGAATGCAAGGAGAAACAGGAATAAAGGGGTATTTTTTATTACCTTCCTTCAACATTAATAACTACTCAACGTTCACTATTTTCTCCTATGCCAATAAGGAAATCTGACCGATAACAGGTTAACTAAAGGAGTATTTTTAAAAGGCTTATTTACCATCCAGCTGTAATGTTTTCAAATAGCACAGTATAGATGGCGACTGTCCCTTCAGGAATACTTTTCCTTCATTTTCCTTCATCCTTCATTACAGAAGTGTGGTTTTCTTCTGTTTATAGACAAGTCTTCCCAGAACACCATCACCAGGCTCATCAAATAGTTCTGCTCAGCCCACAGCAGCTGGTAGGGCAGTGCTCAGTGGGTGCTGGTGACAGACTTGCTATTGAATTTCTCAGAAAATCATATAGGCTTTTTGAAAATATGCAGTATCTGGAGGACATTTCATAACATCACTACTTAAATATTCATAGTTTATACATCTAAAAGAAAACGTCAACAAATTTCATTCTGGGCTCCTGGCTCTTCACCACCACTATGATCTAACATATATGTTATGTTACAAAAAAGGAAAACTAATACAGAACTGGTCAGAATTTTGCAATTTTAAGTGAATATTAAATTATGTACTAAAACTGACCCCTTGTCCATACAAAATGAAGTATAGAAAAGAGGTAGTATTTTGTTGGCAATTAGAATATAGTACATAAGTCAAATTCATCCTTAGTTAACTCAACATCAGTAGTTACAGCAGCGATTAATTTTTCCTAGCGGCTGTGCTGTTCTCCATGTGCTGTAATGAACCTTCACATGTAGACTTTTGTTCTATCATTTAACAGCCTCCCCAGGTGAGCCTTGCCACGTGATCGGTTTTCTGCTTGCTAGGCTTTATGAATCCTAAAAGTTCCAGTTCTGAAACAGCTCTAATAAAACGAGCACTGGAGGCTCTGGTAAAGGAAATCAACATGTGTAAATGTCATGATCAAAATAGCCAAATCGAATCAAGTCATCACTTAAATTTCTTTCTAGCATGGGAGGGAATTATTGGAGCACAGTAAGTACTGCTTCAGCAAGGTGAGGGCACAAATTCATTTAAATCAAGGCAACATGAATTCAGGCCTACAGAATATTTATTTTATAAACTCAAAATATTTAGAATTTTGTTTGTACACTCTGAGACAACAAAACTGGAATAAGGCAGGGAAGGACCCCATCCAACTGAATGAAACCTATCTGGTTGAAAAAAAATGCCATAGCTTTTGACTGCAATTCAAGCATTAATTATTTGTACTTGCATCATAAGTGAAGCGATGCCTTCAGTAGACTTGTTTGTGCCAGTCTCTCCACAACACCTAGATACAGTTGATTTTAAATGCAGATTTAATTTCCCCAGAAATATTAAATGGAAGTTGACACTTTAAAAGGAAACCTATAATAGACTATGGAACAATTAAATTAGGGCATATATTATACAAACAATATTCTGTGGCACATGGGACCTCATCTTGCCCAACCCTAAAAGAATTAAAGTATTGAAAAAATGTGTCCTATGACAAACGGTCAACCCTCCTTTATTTTGTATTGTTTAAAAAAAATAAAAAAAATAATTCAGCCCTCTTTCAGTCAGTTCTCAGTGAATGGGAAGCTGCATTTGTAAAACTTTGGTTCATCCATGAGAAAAAGGCCACTGGCTTGCATGTAAGTGAACGTTAAAAAATAAATTCAGGAACAAAATAAAGGATACTGAATAATTTCATCCATCTGGTCTGTGGCCGTTGAATCTAAGTCTTTTCCTTCAACTGCAGTTACTACAGTTGAAAAAGCCTAAAGGGGAAAAAAAGCAGGTAAGATATATAACTCTCTCAACCACACATACCTCAGAGACCATACTTGCATTACACTTTCCTGTGAACACACACATCAGCAAAAATTAAAAGTCTAGAGGAAAAAGGTAGCTTTGTAAAGCATAACATCTGGTTTGCATGCAACATAAATAAGATACAAGCTGCAACAAGGAGTTTCAATGTGAGAGAGCAGTGCTGGTAATAAAAATGATTCCCAGCACTGGCAGGGGAGGTTGAATGGGATGGTGATTTGTGGGCATTACACATACTAGCAGAGACTGGAGTCAATATAATATGAGAAGACTTTGGCTTTCAAAAGTGGTGACATTGGAGAGAAACAAAAATCCATGCAAAAGTATCAAAATCTAGAGTCTTCACACACATATAGTCTTTGTTTTCATCTTCACGTACCTCTAACCAGTCAACAAGATTTATTAATCTGCCACACTCCAAATGAAGTTTATATGCTATGCATATGTCAGGAGCAGTGTTAGAAATGCATCCTACATCACTTTTCAAAGTTTGATTCTATAAAAAATAGAAAATGAGGGCAGTTATCACACCACAATTCGTTATCTTTAAACATCTCTAGTGTTGAAAGAAAATATGATCAACCTCACATAACTCAGGAAGTTAGCACTGTTGCCATTTTTTTCATATTTTTTGTCGCTGCCTTTAGAAGTATGGTGTGAAGTACCAACAAAACCAAAACCCCAACCTAAAACAAAAACAAAAACAAAACCCTTCCCTCCACAAATCCACTGTGGATGCAAGAAATCTTAACATATCATCTGGTTTGCAAAAAGACATTATTCATCTTGTGCAATAACAATGGCCATTCAACACATGTCCCTATGAGTGAGTACTCCACTTTGGATGTACTTGCAGCCCTGCACTGCTGATTGGAGAACTTTGATAGCAGTGTCTATTAGGTCTGCACATGAGTTCTTTCTCCTTGTGCCCTACCATCAGTGTGCATGGGCTAATCCTGTCAATATTTCCTCTACCACAGAGTAACAGAAAAGAACTCTGAAGTAGAGGGGAAGAGGGTGAGTTGTGGAGCACTCATTGGGACCTCATCTCAAAGTGCAGTAATGATGGCTCAAACTAACTTCTTTTTCTCTTTGAAAGCGTCCCTATAGTCAGTGTTCCCTCTAAGCAGTGGGGCAGCACAGCTTCATGGGTGATTAATCAATCCTGCCCAGTCAGAGGCTCAGGGCTCCCTGAGCAGAGCTGACTAATTGGGTGGGCCTGATTAATCTCACCTGTGAAGCTCTGCTGCCCCACTGCTTAGAGGGAACACTGACTATGGGTGCTCCACTATAAATGGCTCCCAAGGTAAAAGGCTGGGACTTTGGAGATGAGTTAGTCACAGATCACAGTACTGTGGTGCCACAGATGGCATCGAAGGCTGAGTCCTTGTTGGCCATAATGTTCTGAAAAGATGTGGACTAATGCCCATACCACTGATCTACAAATCTCAGAGACAGGGACATTTCTGAAGAAGGCGATGGTTGGGGAGACTGACCTCGTGGAGTGTGTGCACATACTATATGGCGGGGTTGTGTTGCAAACTTGATAATGTTGTCTAATACAGTTCGAGACCTATTTGGAGAGTCTTTGGGCAGATACTGCAGAGAGCGTTGGACCTTTCTGCAATAGAGACAAAGCACTTAGACTTCCTGAAAGGCTTTGTCCTATCCAGGTAAAAGGCAAGGGCTCTCCAGGCATCTAGTGGATGTAGTGAAGCCTCTCTGTCTCAACAGACGGTGAATCAATTGATTCATATGCAATGGAGAGGTTAGCTTAAGAGATGAATTTTGGATGTGGCCTGAGCATAACCTTGTCCCAAAAGAATACAGTGTTCTAGGGATGTGCTATCAGAATGGCTATTTCTCCTATTCTCTTATAGGAGGTGATTGCTTACATACCTCTCAATGAAAGTGGCTTTACTGATGGCCTGATACACCAGCCACTAAAAGGTTTATCAGCACTGAATATCACTTTGCTTGTTAGGAGAAGATTGCTATTGTCACTATGTGGACTCAAAAGCTGAGAGATAATCTTTGTAGGGTCAGTATGCAGTCTAGGATCTTAGGAATAGCAAAGGATGTTGGGGAAACTTGTTGGGAAGTACACCAAAACCGAACCTGGACCATTTTTGCAGGTTAAGTATGGTATGCAGAGGACTGTCTCTTGTGTAGTTAATACATCTTGTACCTCCTTTGAGCAGGAGTTCTCTAGGTGCTGAAACCACAAAGTCATGCCTTGAAGTGAAGATTAGGATGTAGGGTGTGTCCTTTTTTCTGCAAGAGGAGGTATGGAGCGGACTGGAGACATTGTTGGATGTATCATAAGCTGTGACATGTAACGGTCCCAGGTCTCCCTCAGCCAAATAGGAGCAGTTGGTATGACATGTGTTCTCTTTCTTTTTAGCAGGATTTTTGACAATAGGAGGAAAGGCATAGAGGACCCTTTCCCTGGTGAGAAAGAGAGCGTTGCCCATGGAGTGTTATCTGATCCCTGCTCTGAAGCAGTAGCTGGGATATTTCTTGTTCAGGTAAGTGGCAAACTTATCTGTGGTTAGTCCCCCCCACTGCAAGAATATGTTGTGAAGAACAGTTGGTTTATCTCCCACTCGTGGTCCTGTGTGATTTGTGTTAAGACTGACCACTATCAAGTTTTGTCTGCCCAGGAGATAAGCCACTGACAGTATGAGGTCGTGGGAGATAGACCAGTTTGCACAGTGGAAAGGCAACCTAGCTCCCCCGGTAGATTACTGTAGTCTCTTACAAGGATACCCTTTGCAGGAGAGGCACTTCTCAAAGTAGCGAGCCAGATATATCCTCTTGGGGGCAGGGTCTCCAATGGAAAAAAAAAGGGGGGGGGGGAGAAAAATGAAGGCATCAACTCACTCCCATGTCTTAAAAAAAAAAAGAAAATTGGAAAAAAAAAAACCCTACAACTGGGGAGACTAGCTAGCTATAGAAATCTCAGAGGGGTAGTTGTATTAGTCTGTAACTAAAAAACAACTTAAAAAAATGGTCCTGTAGCACCTTAGAGACTATCCAAAAAATATAGAAAGTATAATGAGCTTTCATGGGCACAACCCACTTCTTCAGATGACAAATATGTAAGCTAAGGTAATGGCTGTAATTGACTGCCAACAGCTCCATCTCTAACTGGGGCAGCGGAGAGGGAAATGAGGAGGGTTAACTTGCATACGCTGGCTAGCCTTGTGGCAAGACACAGTGCATGTGTAGGCCTAATGGACATGGCTATAAAAGTTCTCCAATCAGTAGCTCAGGGATGCCAGCACACTTATACTGACACACCCACAGGGACACTACTCAAATCAGCAGCATGGCTACTTTACTGCTGTCTTTATTTTGACTGACAGCAGGTATTTTATTAAGTTTATTTTTGTTCTCTTTTGCTTGTTCTATTTTGTACACCACAGTAAGGAATATTTAATTATATGGATCAATGAAGATAAATTAATGAGGACAGAGACAAAGTGCTCATCATCTAATAAACAGATGTCAGATCTCTTTAGGGAGGGAAGCAATACAAGCATAAATATGTCTGCATACATTAACAAGCTTACTTGTTTTTCTTATAGGTTTATCTTCAACATGTATAAACCACCGCCTCTTTAACTTCAGTTAGGTTGCATTATCTAAGAGCAAAAGTCTTCTGTGCTACTGTTGTGATCCATAGCACTGTAACATTAGCTCATAAATTTATCTATAGTACTTTACCTACATTAAATAGGTCAGGATCTTTTGCTGTGAACAACACCATTGATTCTGAGGCTATCAGCTGCTAATAATGGGGCTAAAACCCATACTTAAACATCTGGTTGTTATACAGAAAATACATTTTAAAAATGCCTAGCACGGATATCACCATAAGCAAAGGTTTTACAAAACAAAGAAAAATATTAACAGGAAATGAAGATAATTCCTTGCCTGATTTAAATTTCTAAATTTGCCTTTTACAACTGAGTCTTCTCATTTGTGAGCTTTAAATCCAGTCCAGTTGGTTTCAGTTTAAACAATGTGACAATTAAGTAACTGAGTTGATGTCTAGATTGCTGAATTGTACTGTAGCACTGCTGAGCCAGTCAGAAATCCAGGAAAATACTATCATTCATTTCCTATGCTACCATTTAACTAACCAGTAAAACCACTTTGATTTGGTTTGAAATCAAATAGATGTGTAACACAGGGCAAGTCTCAATTTGTACATTTGGACTATACATAGGAAACAAGGAACTAATCAAGGAAGAATACTACTGATCAGCAATGCATGGTCAATGCCTGAGTTTGGAGAATGGCAGCTTGCTGACGATTTTTAGGCCAGGTCTTTACAGCAGTAGTGCTCATGGAAACCTCAGCTTCCTGAGGCAACAACAGATAGTATATAGTTATTTCCTGGCAGAGACAGCCTAAGAATAAGCAGGAAGTTATGCTAGAATGCAATCATAAATGAAAAGGGGGACTTTAAACACCAAGGGTGCGTCTAGACTGGCAAGATTTTGCACAAAAGGGGCTGCTTTTGCGCAAAAACTTGCCAGCTCTCTACACTGGCCGCTTGAATTTGCGCAAGAGCACTGACATTCTAATGTAAGAATTCAGTGCTTCTTGCGTAAATACTTTGATGCTCCTGCTCAGGGATAAGCCTTCTTGCACAAGAATACTTGTGCAAGAGGGTCAGTGTAGACAGGCACCTTAATTTTTTGCGCAAGAAAGCCCAATGGCTAAAATGGCCATTGGAGCTTTCTTGCGCAAAAGCGCATCTATACTGGGCACGGATGCTTTTGTACAAAAGCACTTTTTGCGCAAAAGCATCCATGCCAATCTAGACGCTCATTTGTGGAAATACTTTTAACGGAAAAGTTTTTCCATTAAAAGTATTTCCACAAAATCATGCCAGTCTAGACGCAGCCCAAGACTACATTTAATTGATAACTACTACTGCTTCAAAGTAAAAAGCATAAGCAGATGTTTAGGAACATGTTAAAAACTTGGCTGTGCATTTTGAGGGGAGCAGATAGATGAAAAATATTCCCTTTATCAAGGGCCTTATATCAAAGTAGCCTTTTTTTTTTTTTTTTTGGAAAGGAAAAGAGCTTCATGCATTTTTTTTTTAAACACTGCTCCAAATATCTTGGTGGGATGGGAGTTATTACTCAAGTCTGGTATGAAAATCTCCCTCCCTGCAAGATTAAACATGATGCCTGCATGGTTTTCTAAGTTCTACTGACATAAGGCCAAGCACTTCTTAGCTGTGGTATTTTGAACTGCCAGTAGTTGGGTTTCCAACCAAACCAACAGGACAGAATTACAATTCTTTTTACATACATTTCTGTCAGGCTAAATGCCAACCCAGCTCACATTTTGCTGAGGTAAGACCTGGCTTAGAGTCCCATGAGAAAGGGCATCGTATCATTAATCGCCTGATGGTACTTTCCAGTGGCAGATTCTTTCCTGCCTGCACCTTTTGGTAGGAACAGCTCTGCATTCCTAGATCTCTATTAGAGGACTTTTGCTCTGGAAAATACAAACTGTGCAGAATTTATAGACACCGTTGGAGAAATGATTTCTTCCATTCAAACATATTAAAATGGTAATGAACTGCAGTAGTCAGTATTCCTACTAGACACAGAGTTAGATATCCAACAAGCATAAGAAATGCATCAAAAATGCAAAAGAATAACTAGGCCTTTTATATTTCTGTAGATTTAAAGAATTAGCTGGCTCTCCTAATCTAAGCCTTTTGTGTTTTAATAACCAGATATAATTGTTAAGGAGTACATGAATAAGCACACAGACAAACCCAGCACACACTAGATCACAGAATTCAAACATTTATCCAGTCTGGTTGGTTCCTGCTAATCAGGTCTTAGGTTTGACTCAGGCAGCATGCAAACATCCAGGAATGGCAGTAACTTCACTTTTCTTCTCATAATGGCCACATTTTTAAAGGAAAAACTCAGATACAGGGATGGTTTGGTTGGGCATCAGAACCGTGCCTGGAAGTGGGAAAGAAAAAAAGAATGCCTACTCTTGCCTCTCCTCAGCCTAAAAGCCCCTTTCCTCCCACATCTTGTCCTTCTGCCACACTACAGATCTGACTCTGTGCACAAGAGGACTGCTTCTGTTCAGGAACTCCTGAGGAGGTGGTATGTGTATCATTAAAAGTATGGAACAAGAAGGGGGGAGGGCATCACTATGTGATAGGTATGAGAAACAAAAGGTCTAAGACTTCTTCTATACAACCTGTCCTCAATTTCACCAGCTTAGCTGACCAGCAACTCCATCAGGCAACCCATTTATATGAATTTACAAAAACAAAACACCAAAAAACAACACACACATAGGACAATTCTTTCCTCCAGTTTTTGTACAATGAACAAAGACTATAGGGCCAGCCAGGCCTGATAACTGGAGGAGGACTTTTCAGACACACAGGGTCACCCAGTCGAAGTGGATGGTGAGAAAGTCTGCTTATTGCTGGAGAGACAAGGCTGTTAAAAATGGAGCTCTGGAAATTGCCTTCCCATCCAAAACTCTTCATGAAGCAGCATCAGCTTTCTTCTGCGTCAGGCAGATTCTTTGGCTCTCAGTCAGTTACCCAGCTGCTTCATAAAGGGCTACTTGCTAGTTCCTTGTGACAAAACCTACTGTGCGCCAAATTTTATGAAAACAGCAACTCTAAAATATACACAATAGCCTCTCACAGGCTGTGCATGAACTATATACACAATTACAAACAAGTCACACAATTGTCTATTTCTTACTTTCAGGTAGCAATAGGGGTTGTTCAGAGCTGTGTGAAGAGCAATCCGTGGGGCAGCATTCAAGTGCTCACGGAGGGTGTTAGCTGTGTTGAAATACACCACCTCATTCAGGGTCTGCATCTCTGCAGGAGTAAGGTAACTTCTGAAAGAACAACAACATGTGTTGTATGAAAAAGACACCTCTTTAACTGAAAGGACACTACAAAACCCCACTGGAAAGCTGCACCTTCAAAGAGATAGCAAGAACATGCATTTCACAACAGACATGAACAGAAAACCTCTGAAAAATAAGATACTACAATACTTAGAAACACCTTCTAAATAAAATGAGAATTTTAACAATTATCAAATCAGCCTCCAACTTGAAACATTTGTTAATTAGAAACTACCTGCATCAGGGCAAAACTCATCCAACAATGCTGACACCAGCCATCTGCCTTGCTCATTACTCCTACATCACCCACACCATCTTTAAACCCTTTCACTGGCTTCCTCTCACCTTTGTTTTCAAATTCAAGCTCCTTGTCTTGGCTTCCATAGCCCTGCACAATCTAACTTTTGCCAACTTCTCTGCCCTAGCTCCTTTTGGCTCCACACTTTTCATCCTTCCCTCTACTAAAAATGCACAATTGACCACTGCCTTCATATTCTTTGCTAATCCCGGTCTTCATTTTCTTCCTTGTGGGTGCTTCTACTTAGAACTGCGCCTCTGACCCCATCTGCCGTGGCTTGCAGTTGTGATTTCCATTTTCACTAGCCTAGCCTATACAATGCAAAGAAGAAATAGTGGATAAACCAATACTGATTATGATGTGGGACATTTTAACCTTGACTTATCAATTTTTCCCCCCCACATTCTGCAGCAACAGGAATGAATTGCATAATTTGTGTTTCTGCCTCCTTACAGCATTCTATAGAAAAGAGGCATTTTCAAAGCCTCATTCAGAGAGAGTTGGCTGCAAGGACACCCAACAGCAACATTTCATGGAAATAAGAGTTGAAAGGACACGTCTCATATTGTAGGATCACAGCTGTGATTTTTGACAGCAGTTTTTCCCAAGTCTGCATTGTTTGGTAAACTGTTGTTCTGTACATGCATGCATGCATATATTTTTGTATGGCAGTATTTTATAAAAAGAACAGGAAAGCTCACCTTACGAGACTTTCTATAAAGTCAACAACTTCGAACCGGAGCATTTCAAACTTGGTTAATTTCTTAGACCTTTTTGATTCTTTCAATTCCAGCAAAGTCTAAGAGAAAAAAAATGCATGGCCAAGTCACTCTTAATGGCAAACTCATTCATCTGGCACAGAAGTGGGGAACCTTTATTGGGTCAGGGGCTGCTGACCCACAGTAGAAATTAGTTGGGGGCTGCATATAAGTGAGACAGGGGGGAGGGGAAGGGAGACCAGATAAACGCTCGCTGACGTGGCCCTGAACATGAAAAATGATTGCCATGGCTACTCTAGGTAACACATACTAATCTAAATAGAAATAAAGTTAGACTGACAAGATTGTATTCCCTGTTCAAATACAATCTTGCAAAATGTATACAAGTATCTGCCTGCTTAAGAACGGAAATGTGTTTTCATTGTGAGAGTCTGTTTTATTAAGATGGAGCTGACACTAATCCTGAAATTAATGTCCTGAGGCTAGGAAAATAAAATTTCAGATTACTCTCTCTCTCTCTCGTCTTAAAATTAACATACATTATGGAGTTGTAAAAAGGAAAGGGAAAATTGTCTCTTGGTCAGAGCCATGTACTGAAACACAGGGAATTTGGATTCTAGTCTCAGTTCTGTTTCTGATTTGCTGTATGACTTTGGACATGTCACTTAGCTTTCCAGTGCCTCCATTTCCACATCCATAAAATGTGGATAATAATATGTACCAATCTCACAAGGAGTGTGTGCAGATTAAAAGTCTGTTAAATTCTCAGATGCATGGTGCTATCAAAGTGCTAACTGGCATTATTATATGAGTATGTTAGATGCAATGAAGTCTGACAACATCTGGAGTTAAAAATATAAATAAAAAGTCCTTAAATGTTGAAATAGATATTGATGTACCACTTGCCAATTTAGCTACAACAAAATAATGGTGGAGAGAAATATTGAATTATACATTAGAACACTTCACAGTTGTACTGCATACACACCTTATTTTCCCAGGCTGCTACAGGCTTGAAAAAGTAATCTGAAATTTTATTTTCCTAGCCTCAGGACAGTAACTTGCCTATGGCAACCAGAAGTTTTAGTCTGAAAGGCTAGAGAGCTTCTGGCGCTTTCTTTGCAGTACTGTTTGCCATTTTATCAGGGAGGTATACAGAGCCAATGAGATTAAAAAAAAAAAAAAAGAATGGGGTAGAAGAAGACAAGAAACTCCTGCGTTGATACAGAAAGGGGTGGAACAGGAGCAGACAACCCAGATGTAGAAGATGCCCCTAGAGGCTGAGATTCTCTGCATGTTCAGAAAGGCAACAGTAGCATCTGTGAAAAAGTTCTATAAAGAGGTAGAGGGTTAAGATCAGAACTGATTCTTAGGGGAGGGAAGAAGTGGGGTACAAAAAAAATGAATAAAAGTGATTTATTCTTTATGGGGGGGGGGGGAAGTCTATTTACTGGATGACTCAACACATGTCAATGTGAATTAAACATGCATGAGACTGTATGTTGCAGGCTTTTTAAATCAAAGCCAGTATGCTTAGTCAGAAAGCTAAGAGTCAAAGAAATTCTTCAGATTTGCAGCTTTTTATCTGACATTTGAATTGGGCATGATGTTAAATTTTTAAGTCACTCGCAGAATATGATTTGTTCAAAGCTACGCCACTAGTAATTCACTCAACAATGTAGCACTTTAAAGACTAACAAGATGGTTTATTAGATGATGAGCTTTCGTGGGCTAGACCCACTTCCTCCTGCATTTTGCTTCAGCTACCCCAGACTAACACGGCTACATTTCTATCTCACACACACACACACACACACACACACACACACATTGAAACTAGTTTGTAAAAAGTAAAACTGGCCTGACCTTCTGAAGATGATAGAGGTCGGTCTTCTTCTGAAGTTCATTTTGTGATGACACAGACACATCTTGTATATCATTTGTTTCTGCTACTGGAACAAAACCAACTTTCAACATACACGGCAAACTCCTTCTAATACCTACATATACCCATTGACCCAGGCCAAACTGAAACAGGATCAATGGGTACTCTCATGTTGGATAAGGACCAAAACCCAATTAGTTATTCAATTTTTCTCCTGGCAAACAAAGGTCAACAACACTTCATTGCGTAATTCATATTGATATCAGTTATCAAAAACAGAAAATTCAGCCTTGTGTAGGGGGCCTGTACAAGGCTTATGCACCACTTCTGTTCTTTTTAAAATCTCTGGACCATGTCCTTAACTGATATGAATTGACAAAGCTCCACTGATCTCAATGAAGAAGTCACTTAATTAGCTTTTAGAACTCTTCCCAATACAAAGATTTTAGATGTGAAAAAATATGAATTTAAAGAGAAAAATAGGTTCTAATTCACAATTCCCAAACACCATAACTGGGATTTACTGAAATGAGAGTAAAGTGAAAAATAGAACATACTGAAACATTTGACTAACTATATTTATCTTAGCCAAAATTCAAGCATAAGTTTTCTGAGCCTTGAAGTTTGTATATGAATAATTAGCAGGTTTTGCTTTAAAATAAAACCCATCATCAGAATTAAGTCTCAATTTTGCTTTATTTTAAAACAAACTTCCTATAACAATAACAGCTAATAAAAGTCAAAGCAACATACTGTTAGGATATTGGCATTGCTTATAGGGTTGACACCTGCAGGCCACAGGCTGAGGTCAGTTATAGCTGGTTGGTGGCTTACATGAAATGAGTTGGTAGTTTCAGTGCAATTTAAGGCCATGTCTATACATACTGTGCCAGAGCTCGATCTTCTGGCATTCAATTTAGCGGATCTAGTTAAGACCCACTAAATTGAACATTGAGGGCAGTGCCAGTCAGCGCCATTACTCCTTGCAGTTACAAGGAGTAAGGGAAGCTGATGGGAGTGTTTGCTCCTGTCAGCCTCCCTCTGTGAAAACAACACTAATCTCAGCTTAAGATAAGTCAGCTCCAGCTATGTATTTTACGTAGTTGTAATTGTGTACCTTGACCTGACCTTAGTGGGCAAGTATCAACATCTTAAAATTCATCATCACAGTTTTCTGTCAGTATCAGCAAAGACCAAAGATTCAATAGGCATGGACATTATACTACTCTCTCACCCTAGAGTTTATCAAAATCAGGGTGAGGTACATTAATGAGCACAGGGAAGGCTATAGATGGGCTGCCTATTTTCAGTGTTGCTGACTCCTGCAATTTAATCTGAAGACAACTGGTTAATTCAGTTTTCAATTACATGTAAGGAAGTAAGATTCTACCCCTCAAGGTAGCAGACAAGAGCCTGAAAATGAAGCAAGTGCGCTGAAGATTCTGAAACTTAAGGCAAACAAAGCCCAAAGATATTTTTAGCATCTCTTTTTTAAAGCCACTCATGATTTTAAATGCTTGGGGTTGGCTATATTCAGTCCCTGTGCTGTGGGTTGAAAAGCAGCTGTTAGCATAGGACCTTTCACCATCACTATATACACTTTTAAAAGAAAGAAGCAGAAACTAGCTCATTAGTGAAATTCTAAACTTAAAACAAATGGAAACAAGTTTCAAAAGATCCCCACATATGTGAATGAAAGAAAGACTGAAAGAAGATGTAGTAAATATCCTGAAAGTAAAAAAAACAAACAAACTGATCCCTGATGGTTTGTATCCACTCTAGATACAAGATTTCAAACTGAGGCGGTCCTCTCTCCCCTCGTTATTACAATAACTTGTTAAACTTGAGCAGGTTTTCTCAATGTTCCCTCAACTCAACGTAGGCTCTACAGAACAAAGGTTTGCGCTCTCAAGCTCCATGTTTTGACTCTCCCAATTCACTAGAAAAGAATTGGGAAGATGTGGGCCTCTCCCCTGGCCCTGGAGCCTCCTGCTGCCAGTGAGGAGAGAAGGGCCCTATCCCTCAGAGCACCACGTTGTCTGTGCCATAAGTACCTCTTAAATTCCTTTTATTTTTCCCTGGTTATCTTAAAAAAGGAGTATTATTTTATTGTAGAAGTAGACTTTGTTTTAGTTACACTGGAACTATCGGATAGTTGCATAAATACAAAGATTTCATGCAATTACGCAACTATTCAATTAGCCAATATCTAACATCCCTAGTATCTAGGTTCCACAGAAAGGAAGGACTCCCACAGGGCAGTACCCAAAGGAAGGGGCACCGTGGTCTGGGAGGAATGTGGATCCCAACGTGGTACAGAGTGTGAAGGCATAGGTAATAGCAGATGAGACACTAACTGGAAGAAGATGCTTCTGGATAGTGATAGCTAATTCCCAGGACTGGCCAGCAGAGGCACCATTCAGCGAGTTAAACTTCCTACACAGAAGATGCTTTCACTTTTACATTGGATGTGAAGGCTGCAGTGGTTTCTCTCAATCCAGGGATGATGGAGCATGACTGTTTCTATGGGCTGAATCTCCTAAAGACAGAAGGATGATATTGAGCTGCACTATTGAACTCTACATGTTGCCACTGACTGTTCCCACTGCAATCTACCCATCCTGACCTGAACAATCCATCTCTTATTTGGATCTGACTGGACTGAGTTGCACATCTTTATGACTGGCATGATAATGAGTCCAAATGTATGTGTAAAGGAGTTAGCGCTAGTATTAATCTTTCAAGCTTTTGACTTATTCATGAAATGATTTTGGAAGCTGTAAAGCACTTGAAAGACCTGAAGAAAAATGTGTCTATTAAGAGTAATTTATTATCCACTCCCTTCAATCTTTCCAGTTTTTGTCTCACACTCAGAGCCTATCCTGTCCATAGGATGCAGGGGGATGCAGACGCATGGGGACAAAGGGATTAGCAGGAAGACTTGTGCTGGCAGCAGAGATTGAGCCCACCCCTGCACTCACCAGTTCCAGCCTGCTCTGTCAGCACTCAGCATTGCTCAGAGGAGGGGACTTGGGGTGAAGGGTTGGAATGGACATGGAGACAGGGCAGAGGAGGAATGAGGGCAGAAAGAGGCAGAGTGGGCAGGTAGTTGTCCTGGACCCCGTACCGACATATTGATGGCCCTGCTCACACCATTCTTCCATTTTATGAAGGATGGGCCCAATCAGCAGTAACATGACAATCATTTTTGAAAAGATGTACTCTATGTCAAAATTGCTTGGCATACTGATAATCTTAGATGGAGAAATTTCTGGGTTTGATTAACAGGCAGTGAATTCATCAGAATCCAGATTCTCTGAGGCCATTTTATACCATTGATACTGAACGATTTGGCAGAATATTACATGCTCACCTTCCAGATTTTGAAATCGTGTCAGGAACTCCTCCATTTTCTCTATCGTGTTGCTAAACTGTTTTCCAGAAGATGATGTAAAAATCTCCACACATTTTTGAAGTATGGCCACCAACTCAGCCTTAGCCAACATCCTGAAAAACAGAATCAAATAGCAAAACAGGGAAAGCATTTGCTGAAGTACTTAAGCACAATGTTCAATATGGTATTTTATTTGAAAAAAGAATCCCCACGTTCTCTAATTTAAAAGCTATCCGTTTTCTTGTAAAGTTGATTTTCTAAAGAATGAATTAAGACTGTTTTAGTTCTAGTGTTTTTATATTGAGAGCTTGACATTTAAAAAGGGCTAAGGAATTGACTGAGCTAGAAGATTATATCCTTCAGTTTCCCCTCCCAGAGTAGATGGAGAATAGTCTAATATAATCTAAAGGTAAAAGCACTTTTGTATTTCTTCCCTCTAAGATCTGATTCAGAGGTGAGAATTAGGACTTAAAGCTTGTCAGAGGATCATGATTCCTGCGTTTGAATGATGCAAACCAGAATATCCTCACCTGGCATTTCAACATTACAAAACTCATTACATTCTGGGATCCAAAAGGAACTTGTAACAGAGTCAAAGTTTGTTTTACATATTTAATTAATATAAACCCACCACACCTCTTTGCATTATATAGCACTTATCTTTTGATCCCAGAATTTTATAAAGATGACTAAGTAGAATGAAAATACTGAGGCTGAACAATAATTTACATTTATATTTAATTTGATAAGTATAATATTGCAGGATCGTCTCTTAACTGTGTCACTTTGAAGCCTAGAGTATCTGAGTCAGCGTAAAACAATGGAAACAACTACAAGCATGGCTGAGAGCTCTTTATTCAGAATATCACCAGGTTCACCATCTGTTACTGTTCAATGTTTAAGTTCTATTCCATTTTCATTTTACAAATTACATTTTGCAACAGCAAGGCCTAGTGATCCAAGCCATTAATATCTCTTTAGAACTATGGCATTGTCGGTCTCAAGAACCATGGCTCTGGCAGCAAAGTCTGAGGTGTATAGCTAGCTATGTTGCTACAGAGATATAGGCACTGGCTTTGAGGGCTTAAATACTCAAATGGGTCACCCCTGAAGTATGCCACTCTGATTTTAAATTAGAGTTTTTGCTTCTTGCTCTGGCAAACCCTTTTATGTTTAGACAGTAAAAAGTCACTGTAAATAGACCCTTTGTACACCTAAAAACAGCAGAAGTAATTTATAAGCCAAAACCAAGTGCAGAGGATCATAATGTAATGTAAACAGGCTCTCACACATTCATGAAACAGCCCGTCACTCCCATTCAATTCTTTCAATTAAGGAAAGTCAAAGAAATTAGTCCTTAATTTAAAACATTACAAAAGGAAAATAAAAATATTGTAAGAATCTGACAGCAGGATATTCCCTTTGAAAACAAATCAGGGAACTGATTAACTACTAATTAATTACTTTTGGAGAAATGCTATCTCCTATCCAAAAATAGTTTTTGCTGGTGGTACTGGGATTTCTTTTGCAGATAGCAGCAGCAGTAAAGCACTTAAAGCTCTAGCAAATCTTTCACTAGCCACCATTTTCAGGGACTGAGGAAAGGATCAATTCATTAAAATTAAAAGTTGGTATTTGCCAATAGCAAATTGTGATCTTCTAATTCTCACAATCTTAATGGCTTTTAGAATAACTTATAACTTGCAAGGTGATTGTCTGAAGAGAAATAAAATTATTTAAAATCGACGAGGAGTCCTGTGGCACCTTATAGACTAACTGAAGTGTAGGAGCATAAGCTTTCGTGGGCAAGGACCCACTTCGTCAGATGCATGACATGCATCTGACGAAGTGGGTCCTTGCCCACAAAAGCTTATGCTCCTACACTTCAGTTAGTCTATAAGGTGCCACAGGACTCCTCGTCGCTTTTGCAGATTCAGACTAACACGGCTACCCCTCTGAAAATTATTTAAAGCACCTTCTATGGCAAACCAGTGACTCCCAACATAAGAACATGAAAACAGATACATACCTACAATCCTTGAACAACCATATATGCAAGATGCATTAGTATGTAGTAGGGGTTAGAACTGGCCTATTTTAATAAAATTATAAAAATAGGAAAGTTAAACCAAGTCTTGCTGTTTTCATATAAGTTATCAGGAGCCTAGTTGCTGCCAAAGGTGGTTAAAATCATATCACCTTATTAACAAGCTGATTTACCTGTACATAAGATTCAAGTGAATAAAGTTTTACAACTTTAATTGATTAGCATGGTATCAGGAAAAAGGACCCCTTCTTGTATGTGTCCAGCAATTTAAAACCTTCAGAGGCCAAGTCAGATCAAGCACTGAGGAAAAAAGCTGTTTGTCCTATACAGCAGTTTGAACGTCCTCACAATTTGATGCAAGCCAAGGCCTTTAGAGCAATTGGTCTGCAGAATGCACAGTATTTAGCCAGCCACCTGCCTCCAGACTCTTGAACTCGAGTATTTGACTCACACAGTAAGAAAAACAGTTCCTAACCTTCCATAATGGTTATTCTTTGAGATGTGTTGCTCATGTCCATTCTACATTAGTTGTGTGTGCTTGCCACAGGCACAGGTGCCAGAAGCATTTCTCTCAGTGGTATCCATACGGGACCAGCTCTAGGACCCTCTGGAGTGGTGCACATGTGTGCCAGCATAAGGGGTACTGCCGGCTTCCTCCTCCCTCAATTATTTCTTGCTGGAACTCTGACAGTGGAAAGGGGGTGAGAGGGATGTCATGGAATGGACACGAGCAACACATCTCAAAGAACGCCTTACGGAAGATTAGCAGCTGTTTTTACAGGGGTGCCATTTCAGATTTTGGCATAGGGAGGGAGGGTGACCCATGCAAGCTGTGATTGGGGAAGGGAGGAAGAGTAAGAACACAATGAGGTGGGGGCACCAGACTGACAGCAGCTTCAGCAGTGTTACTGAAAATGCTCAGTACAAATCAAGCAGTAAATTGGAAGAGAAGAGTGGGGGGCTGCCCCCCTCCACTCCCCCCCCCC